CAAGCAGATTTTGACATCAAATTTGGGGTAAAAAGTGCGTCTTATACACCGAAAAATACGGTACTATACGATAAGTTAGTTAGAGAAAGTTTCTTTAATCAATTATTTTATTAAAAATTTTATACAAGAGCTGCTAACTTAATAAAAGCATGTTTTTTTTTTGTTATTTTAAAATGTACAGTAATGTAGAGTAAAAAATAGAAAGAAGAGTAACCTAGGTAACATCTGAATGCCGATATACAGTATGGTATCTAGTTCCACCTCACCTTTTTCGTTATTCTTCCTATTCGTCGCTCTCTAGCTTCATCGTTATGCTCATCACTTGACTCTTCAGACTGCACACCACTATCAGCAGTGCTTACTCTCGAACACCTGTGTCCTTGGCCTTCAACAAAAAGTGCATTCTGTTTGTTAGTTTTCTTCATCTGACCATAGTACTTCTCAAGCACTGAAGGCTGCTTGTTTCTTGGTTCGTATTCTTCATCAGTTAACCGTTTGAATTCATCATCATAAGGAAGTGTTTCTCTTGTTCGAAGGAGTTCTGTGGCTAGTGATAGTTTATTAACATAAATATGTTTTTGTCCAGACGTTTGACTTTCATATCGATGGGGCAAAAGTTCTACGTCTTCAGAGCCAGCTTCACTGGCACTGTCCATTTCGTGGACTACAATTTCTGATCGTTCTCTAGAAAACTGATCACGTGGAAGAACTTCACTTTCAGTTTTGTTTCCAGCATCTGAAGTTTTCACCACAGCATCCGAGAGTTCCCGTTGGATAGCTTCTTCAATATTTTGTTCCTCGCTGTCAGAATATTCAGTAAGGCTTTCGTCAAAAGCGAGCTTATAAATAGCTTGGTTGTTCTGAAAAGCTTTACTGCTAGTAAGTTTATGAAGTTTGTTTAGTTCAATTTCCGTTTCTCGTATTAAATTATCGGAGTGACTAAGATAAGCGAGGTAACTAGGCGATAAAAGCTCCCCCGACACTTTATCCTTTACATCTTCTTCTTGGTTTTCTTCCAACAAGTCTTCTGAGGATAATTCCTGAAGGGTGGATGTATCGTTAAAAAGTTCGCTTTCCTGTTCTGTACATTTCTGAAGGTCATGAGAAAAATCATAATCTCCACTATTGTGCGAGGAATATACTCTATCTACAGTCTCGTCTGTCTTTAACTGATTGTTCATAAACATTTCAAGATCGTCGGTAGTAGTAGCATTTATATCAATTTTGTTGTCTTCTGTATTTGCTTCTTTTAACTGATCAATTGCCTTGTTATCAACTACTGGACTTTGTCCAGAATCTTGTTCTTCTAAGCTAGCTTGAATGTTCCAACTGTTTTCAACAAGATCTTCTTTAGTTTTATTATATTCTGAAAAGTCTGTAATTTCTCCGGACAACGGTTGATTATGCCAAACATCATTCTTGTTTTCAAAGTTTTCTAAATCTTTTTCGTCCTCTCTTGCAACATTTGATGTGTCACTATTCGCCGAACTGTCAAAACTGTGGGATGACGGGGGCGTTTTTGCGTTTACGTAACCTCGAAGATCAACAACAAACGTTAGTTCAGAATTTAAAGGAACAATATCATAAAATGACTCCTGGTGATGAAAATCACTATCATCATTTGTGCTGTTTGAGTTTGTTATCTGAGTCAAGCACGTAGAAGAAAACTCTTTTGTATTTGAGTAATTCTCTGGTGAATTTCCACTTAATCCATATTCGTCATGATTTCCGCTTAATCCGTCGAATGTAAATGTTTCTAAACTGATGTCGCCGTCTTCAGTCCAAACTAACTGTTCCTTAAAAGGTGAATTTTCAGCTTGAACTTCCAAATTTGCTGCTTCTAAACTTTCTGAGCTGTAGAAGTCTACGTCATTCGTTAGTATTTGAGTTTCCTGAGAATCAATATCGTCATCGGCGTGAGGATATGCAGTTTTTTGAATAAATTCTTGTGCACTTTTGTCTAAAAAGTGGTTACTACAGGTTAAGTCTGTTGCTTGATCTCTTTCTTGTGATAAAGATATAGTACCTCTATCACATACTGATCCCTCAATATGGGGTATTTTTTCCTCACTAACATTCATTGGTGATTCTGTTTCTCTTGTCTCACTTTGTGTACTTGTTCCGAGGCTCTCTATATTAAACAAAGAATTGTTGCAATCTGCACTGATTACATAAGAACTATCGCGTTTCAGGCTTTCCACGGCCTTTTGGATGGCTTTCTCTACCACTATTTTAGCAGTTTGTTCAAGTTCTAAATCTTCACTACGAACTGACTCATAATTTTGCACAGCAATCTCGGTAGCATGCAAGTTGTCAGGAGGATAGCTTTGTTCAAGATGTTGCACGCTTTCTTTCCAAGCCGAGTCCTGATTCATCATATTTTTATTCTTTGGATGATCACTTGTTTCTTGTTTTTTTTCTTTATCAAAGGGACTGAACGTTGTATTTATATTAGAACTCCAAGAATATTTTAAATTTCCAAATTCTTTTCCCAAATTTTGCGTATTTTGTAGATATTGTTGAGGAATATCCTTTTCTCTTCCGTTTTCTATACAAGACGCAGTGCCAAACACACTGTTTGGTTTTTCCTTTCTAACCTCAAAACAGTTGGTAGTTTCGGGTATTTTAAGAATTTGTCCCTTTCTGTGTACTCTCGTTTCCCCACAAGACTGATCTGGCACAGCTCCAGTGGAGTTTTCTGGAGTATTAACAGATATATCAGTATTTACTTGTGAGTCAACAACCATGCTGGCTCCTTCCTCAAAGAAGTTTTTAGGATTGCCTTCTGGATCTAACAATAGACTATCTGCCGTATTAAGTTCACCCATAGCTAGCGCTGTTAGCTCGTGCTTCTGTAAAGTTGAATCCACAGCATCAACTTCTGAGGACCACTTGAGGTTAGATATGATGGTTGGCACTTTATCAGCATTAGGATGTGAGCTTCCGTTAGTTCGGTTATTATCAAGGGCTTCTGAATGATCTCCCTCTGATAGTGACTTGTGGATGTTGCTTGTTATATTAGCTGTAATTTCGAAAGAGTAAAGGTCACAAATAAGATCTTTATATAAAGATTCAGCGATAATTTTAGGATCATGTAATTGTCCAGATAATTCTTTTTCTGCTTCACAAAATGCATTGTGGACAAGATCGTGGGAAATTGTTTTTAACTTTTCTTTAGACACAACATCTTGATATTCTTCTTCTTTCAATTCTGCTTCTACTGATTCATGTTTTGAATCATTTGAGTCAAGTATGGTCAAAACATCATTTTGTGTTTGTCCTGTATCTTTATCCTGTGCTTTTTCTATGGTGAAACATGGGGTTGTTTCTTTTCTTTCTTCAGAACTGGTGAGCAGTTCATGTCTTAAATCATCAGACGCATCGTCCTTTTCTTTGTGGACCTCTTCAGAGCTGATGGGCAGTACATGTCTTAAATCATCAGATGCATCGTCCTTTTCTTTGTGGACCTCTTCAGTGCTGGTGGGCAGTACATGCCTTAAATCATCAGATGCATCATCCTTTTCTTTGTGGACAGCTGTATTTGCGTTTTCTTGTGTTGTTTCATTTTTCTAAAAGAAGATCATAAATTCTTATGGAGATTTTGAAACAAATGAAGAAAATCTCAAATCACTTGAAAGTCGTAATAACACTTCCAAGATAATGAAGAAATTCTTATTGATTTTGGTCTCTGTTAGAGCTAAGAAAAGTTTGAATTGTAAACGATTTTAAGAATTAATTTTTTAAGGAAGACAATAATTAACGTTCAACTGGTAACAAGTAGTTCAAAAGTGGCATTTCATTTGTATAGTTAACTAAGTTAGTCCATTAAATAACGAACAAAATAAAAAAAAACAATTAAAGTATGATTTAGGAAATCGGTGGTAGTATTTCATGCACCTTTAAAAATCTACAATACAGAAACATTTTTCAAAAGAACTCTGTGATGATGTTTAAACAAATACAGCTTCTGAGAATCATTTCATGCTGGAACAATATACTCAGTATTGAAATGGAATTAGATGCTATCATCTTACATTATTGTTTTACAGTTAATTTGAAAATTAAGTTTGTTGTTATAAGGTACATATAGTTATTCCAGTAATCTCATCAAATATGGTGGACAACACATTAGTCTCTCAGCTATCAATTCAGAAACTACAATACATTATGTATGGTTCTAAATGTATCGATGAATTTACAATCACAAAATACAGGGTTGATTACATTATATCAAAACGATTTTGAATATGCAATTCAGGATGTAACATAACAACCACAGCTAGTATATATTTGCGGTGGACTATATGTATCAAACTACATTTTGACATTGTTTGGCATTTCGTAGGTATTGTGATGTCACAGAAAATTGAACGCTTTTGGGAAGGGTATGTAACATCCCTTTTCATATACTCAGATCATAAAGATGTACTCAGATTGGGGATTCAGAATTTCGAAGATGGGGATATTCCTTGTACGTAACGACAATGGAAAATAAAAGAGTATGGATAAACTTCGGTCACCATCCAGTAAAAAACCTCCCAAAAGTCGTACCTCAGTCGTGGTAAGCAAAGTGCGGCAGGTGAGAATCTACGAACACAACTGTCGGTGGTAGACCCCATCTTTGTTTACCAGGCAACAGTATGCAGTGTAATCAAGAAGGATATCTGTTTGGAAACGAGACCAAAAGGTGTGGATTCACTAAGATAAGGCTTCTAGTCGTACCTCCTGTTCAACCGTTGCACATCTTAAGTAGCTGGAGAATAAAATAGATATTCATACTATTCCATAAGAAGAAATACCAATCAAGTAGCCGGATGCAGCGCTTTTATGGATTTTTTTACAATTAAATGTGCACTGGGAATTTGTTGTCTTAGCTCAATAGATGGATTATGAAAAACGCGTAAGGAGGACTGGTCTGATTTGAATGTGATAGTTTTACAACGGAGCATTTTGCAAGGCTATTATTGTCAAGGCACGGTCGTCAGATAAAGCACGACTAGACGTGGCAACACGGACTGCAACGGCGTGGTGAGTTTCCAAAATCGTTTTTATATAACGTACTCAATCTCTATATAACTTATTAAATCTTTTGAAGGACAAATCCACATGACAAACACGTAAGTTATCAAGAAATGATGAATGCCGTATTGAATTAGGTTAAATTACGAAAGTAATAGACATTGGATTTTGTTTTGTAGTTAGTATTCTTAACATATAAATCATCTTGGTTCCGCAGTATTCACAAAACGTCATTTTTAGTTGTTAAACTGTAAGAGCAACTTTTACGACAATAAGTATTCGCTACTTTATAACCTTCATAGCATTTTAAACACATTATCCACTTCAAGACAGTTTTATGTGTAATGGTTAACATCTTTAAGCACGCAGTAACATAATTGTTTTGCATTTCAAAAAAATAACTAACATTCACGCATACCATTGTTTCAGTTGCCTTTTCTCGAGGCTTTCTTTTCCTTCTGCGACGTTTTGTCCTGCTGAGATCTGGGCCAGGATTGGCTGGATACGATAAAAACCCAGACGAATGGAAAGTGTCTTGACGTGCTATAAAGTAAGCAGTTTAATGGGTTTTTTTCCATACATTAAAAAAGTAAAAATTAAGCCCTTTAAATGGTTTATGACAGCTTTTGCGAGTTACTTTCTTATAATCGAAGATCCAGCAATTTTGAAAAACCAAGCCTATTGAACAAATATGTTTATTATGCACTCTCTCTTCCAGTTTTGACAAACTTAAACCTAGTTATTAAAATATTTCATGACGTCTTTAATTCTGAGAAGAAATCTGTTTAACATTAATCGTATACATTCCGTTTCATAATTAAGTGTAATTAAAGTATTTTTGTCAAATATCTAGTGAATACTTTTTATTGATGACGTTAATATTTCCATACGTATGCAGGGGACATAAAACGTATTATTTGTTTTCCAAAATCAATGAACTCTTTATTATACTTACTTGTTTCGAATTCGATTAAAATAAAAACAATAAGAAGTTGTTATTCGTGTATGATTTTTTTTCACAGACATCTCGAACGGGTTAAGGCAACGACTCTAAATAAAGAGCAGAAAGAGCATCTACCCCCTCCCCCAAACCTTTTCCAGTTAGTGTACGTACACTATTATTAACAACTATGTTAGACTGGGTTAGCTTTTTTGTCTCTTTCCTACTTTCCAACAAAATTAGACAGTCATAGCATATCCCCGTGGGGTAAGTGGATGTCGAAGGGAGCAAGGAGGGCTTGACCTATTCCTAATAATGATCAAAAAACAAACAAACACACAATATAGTTTAAAGACAATTGAACAAACTAGAATACCGTATTAGCAAAATAAAAAAGTAGCTAAACTGGCAACACTGCCAGCGTTTGTGAGTGGTTCGCTTAAGTTTTATATGCTTCTTTGTCTGTTGTGTTTGCATTCATTGCGAATACGGACCTGTATTAATGCAGAGACCGTGATGTGCATATTTAACTTGCTATTCGTTGTTTAAAACTGCATGTTCTTGTAGTACATCAGTAGACTCGGCCAAGGTCAACAGAGTAAATTCACTTCCCGCTTGGGGAATATTGAGTTTACTCACCGTTATTCTCCTATGATAAGCAAATCCTAGCAACTCAGGTGATGAGCAGAATCTCTTCTGATTAAGGTTAGTTTACCCATTTCATTTTTACCACTACTAAAGCCGATATTTTCAAGTTCAAGTTTTAACTTTTATTCTAAGGGTATAATATAAAATTGTTTGCTTTCTAATCTAATAAAAAGTATGATATTTACGGGGATAACCAGAACTTTTCGTTCTAAACTAATTTGTAGACGACGTCTTTAAGAAGGTTGAAACGATTTTCAAAGAAAAAGGCTGAAGCAGTTTTTAAAACGTTCTTTTATATTACCAGAGAAAGTTAACAATAATTTGACACATGCTGTTGTCTTGACACTATTATTTATTCAACAATAGTGTCAAGGTGAATGTCTTGAGTATTTGTTTTCTCAGTTTCCATTTTTTTTTTTTTGCAAACTTAAAGCTTTACCCAATTAAACAACCTAGTTTTTGAGCTAGCTTGATGGATAGGTCTAATTGGTTGATTTCTCTTTTTGGTGTTACAGTGATATTGAATAACTGTATTGTTATTTTTGTAAGTTTTATAGTCGTGGAGATTGTGGTTACCATGGTTATCTTGAGGAACACACAATAACTAATAAATAATTTGTGGGAATGCTAAAATGAGTAGCACTATTCGTAAGTAAAAAACAGTTGTGAAATCAGTGAACAATAAAATAAAATAATCAATAAAATATTATTTTATACACGCGATTCCGCGGTGAATAGGAGCACCTACTGTTTGTGTCTATCAAACGTTACGGATTACCAAATTATCTAACTCGGCCATCTTTTAAGACTTCATGAAAGAGGATAACCATGGTACATTTTTTCGTAAAGCACCTAATTTCCAAATCGTAATCGTTCATTCGGAAAAGCGATATAAAATTAATCCCATTGCAGTCAACGGCTGTGTTGCGTATTTTTATTTCTTTTAATGCAAACATCAAAGACAAATTATCGCGTTTCACGATGAATAAAATGTTTATATCTTGATGTTTTTATCCTTTTTACAGACATTTTAGTCACATTACATAGACAGTAAACTCGTCTATTTTCAATATAAAAAGGCTTTCGTTTGTGGCAATAGAAAGTTTATCATTAGATTAAACGAATGATTATAAGTTATTATTTTTACCAGTGGACGTAAAAACTACACTATATTCCACAATGCATTTGTAGTTCGTCCAACTGTTTTTAAAGAAATAAACGCATGAATACAGGGTGGTAATAAAGTACTTTGAATATGAAAGTGGCGATATATAATGAGTTTTAATTCATGGAGAAAGAATAACACGGGGAGGGTTGGGGGGGGGGGCTTCAGAATTCAGTTAAAAACATATTGTTGTAAAGGGAGCAGCTTTGACTGGGTGTTGGACATCATATTAGTTCAACAACTAAGAACAACTGAACCAAATCTAAGCAAGAAGATTTAAGCCTCAAATATAAACTTATTTGGACAAAAAAATGAAGTAGTTCCTGACTTATGGTATCACGTAACACGACATAGCTCCGGTAGCACTGTGGTATACTCTTAATGACACACCAACACTTAACTAAAGTTTTAGAAAGTCTGTTCTCTGCTCAGTTGTCAACATAAATATGCAGCGGAGAACTAAGGTTACGAACCATTGACAGCCTATCAATAAGTAAGTAGGTATCCACTGTAGAAAGAATATCACTTTACTAAATAAATAAAAAACAAAAGGTTAGAATTTAGTGGATCTCCCTCTGCAAGATTTTAGGCAGAAACACGGTTACACATATTTATAAAATCTGAAACCTGGGTTTATGGGATTGCGCTCCTCTCCTGGTGATGAAGTTGGATGAGGTTATTTGGAACGCTTTAGTGATGAACGATCAAGAAAACATCACGTATGTTCGATGGAGTTCATATCCGACGATTGACCAGTCTACGGAAGAGTGGTAATACGACTCCAGCCGAATGAACGTGACAACACTGCTATGTCTGGTACGCTGGTCACTGGCGTATACAGGTAGAAGGCTCAAGAATTATGACTTAGTGAGTGGTACTCACGGTCTCATTGCATACCACCAGCTATGATCATCCAGCTGTCCAAGTGGCACACCACACCATAACAAAAATGCAACCGTATTTTTTCGTGACTTGATACGGTTTAACGGAAGGAAGGTAGTCCACTGAGTGTCCGAGAACTGTGCAAATCTAGATTCATCGGGAAGTATTAGTATCCCAAGTATCAGGAGGATATGATGACACTGTAATGCCCACTGCTGTCAAAATACTTATTGCCTTGAGAGAGGATTATCTTCAGATTAGCATTCTAGCTACTCCATGGTGGTAAGAAGCTACTTTCTGATTGTAGCCTGTCCTATGAAGACAACTTCTGATGGTATTGGGTCACACTTGCACATGTCGTTTTGACGTGAGACATCCTACACACTTCTTACAGTACGAAGAGTCCATTCTGTTGCATCACCAACCTGGTCACTGAGGACAGCAGAGAAATTATAAGTGACCTGGCAGTTTCTCACTGACTTTGACCGCCCTGCTATCTTCCAATTATGTGTCATCAATCTAGTCACCGAGGGTAACAGAGGAACTGTAAGCGACCTGTCAATTTCTTACTGACTTTTACTGCCTTCTCATCGTCCAATTATGCGTCCTTGTAAAAAATAGGTTAATTCCCGGAATCCTTTATTAGTTCCATACCTGTTTTTATTCTGTGGTCTGTTTTGAACTATACTTGTATTTATACGTCGCGGTCAATTGCATAGGACATCATTGAGATGGTCTATATGTATTCTCGGAGTGTATCTTTTCTGGTAAGCTGCATATACGAAACCTTAAATTGAAAATTGTATGTGAAATAAGCGCTGGCTGTGTCATTATGTTTTTTTTTTGCTCGCCCTTTCAGCCGTGGGGGCGATATGACGTGACAGTCAATCTCACTATTCGTTGGTAAAAGAGTAGCCCAAACGTTGGCGGTGGGTGGTGATGACTAGCTGCCTTCTCTCTAGTCTTTCACTGCTAAATTAGGGATGCCTAGCGCAGATACCCCTCGTGTAGCTGTGCACGAAATTCAAAACAAACAAACAAATGCTTGTCTAAACTTTTGTAAGCCATACAAAACATGCTCCTAAGCTCAGCGCTAGACGTTAAATTCTAATCAGTAGAAACCAATAGCACATTTCTACTAGCTGTAAAAATTATTTTAAACAATGGAATTAACGACATGTTCAAACGGTGTATTTACTTCTGATTCTTAGATAATGTAAATTGACACAATTAAAATAAAAAAAGTCATCCAATCACAAAGTCTGACTGTGGAAGGTCTGTGGTTTGTTGTACTAAAAGAGAGGTAGTCCTTTTGAAAATGTGAAAAATATAATTAGTGGGTAGTTTTATTCGTGAGTTTTCATTAAGGTGATAACATTTTGTTAAAAAGTTGAGATATATTACCAGCCCTCTTGAGTAGATGATCAGTACTGTTATTAAAGTTTTGGACATGCCATATAACATAAACGCGAAAGGTTTATGATCACCCTTTAAATGAGTTATTGTTAATAGTAAAAATAAACAGTCTTTTTCCGTCTTTCTCTTCATCATGCATATGAAAGAAATGTCATCATCTGGTACTTACCTCAACACGAAAGTCAGTGATGATTTAATCACTTGTGCAAGAAAAATAAGGAGAGTAAAAATTTAAATAAAACGTTTAGGAACGATAACGGAAAGACATAAAACTCATAGACGAGCTAGGGTAAAGTGCGTGTTTTAAGGACAGGGATATGAGATCATCGTTAGCACAACGTATTTCCAACCGCGATGAAATTTGCGGAAAACAATACCTTCCGTAAGGAAGCACAACGACACTAACGTTTACTAAAAAGGCAACAGTCTCATTCTACACGCTAGGTTGGGGCAGTATGAAATGGTACTTCTGTCATCCTTCGACGTCACATCACGCGGCTATGAAAGACTTCCCGCCACAAATAGAATGCCAAGTCAGCCATCACAGAACCCATAATGCAACTAAATGTTTTACCTTTGGAAGTTTGTTTGAGTAGTAAGTGATAAAACCTACTGAGTTAAACGAAATCGTATTTTTTTTTTTTCATGCAAACACGAAACACCACAAAATTATTTACTGTAATCTTAAACTAAGTGAATGAACCAATCGACATTTAGTGTCCTATGTAGCCTGGAAGTATCTATATTTACGTAACGAAGTTATAATTATAGTCAGCCCCCACCCTCGATGTAGGATGTGAGCGTGGGACGGGAAAGTAGGGCGTACGTATGTGATACGCACTCATCGTAAATGCATTTAGAGCTTCAATAAACATATTATTTATATTCATGATCGGAACCTCAAAATAGCACCTATCCTTTTGAACTTCAACAGCCAAAGATACAAGTATTCCGTCATACCACATAGGGAGTATTATAATAATTTCTATGGTACAACTTTAGACATTATAACAATTCAACAAAGATAAAAAAAAATCTTATACTTAATACATTAATGCGAATGTAAATAAATGTCATAAACTTACTTGGGTAAGCAGCAGGTCCAAAAAAATTACCAGGATATAAATACATTAGAGTTGGTCTTGCTATTGATTGGTCCTCAGCCAAGTCACCAGATGGCACTGTCCCTTGCCATGAAACGTCATCATTAGATTGTGGATGCCAATGAGGTTGAGAATATAAAGGATGATAATGCATGCTTTTCCAGTAGGGAGTGTTGTCAGCCTGTCTTTTATTAATTCTGTAGGTCTTTTGGAAACGACAGTTAGGTTTTTGTCGTTGGAAATAATACAAATATAGCTGACCTGGTCCTGGATACACAGAGCTCTCTGATGGATGATTTGGTCTGTAGCATGATAAAGGAAATGTCCAAGAATCAGAAGGGTAAGTCATGAAACATTCGGATGGATAATAGGCAGGTTGTGGTAGGTGCTGAGGTCCGGGGACCCACAATCCTGCAAAACAACAGATTTAACTGAAAATGAGACTTCAGTGTATGACTTAACCTCAAGTTACTTATCAACGATTGTGCTTGAACGATTGAATGAGAATAATTTTTACACGTTTTGATTAAACAACCAACAAAAGGACTTACCATTACTAAAACAACCAGAAGCATCCAAAAACTGTCCACCATTTTGAATTTCTTGAAATGAAAAGTTTCCGTCCACTCTATCAAGCGGATTGAATAACTGAAAGTTAGGAATGCAGTTAGACGTATCACTGGCAGTCCTTTCTGTGTAAAAAAATAAGTATAAAATATCAGTATGCAGTCTACATACAGACAAGAAAAGTTCGAACTTGACAAATTATTAATACAAACTGTGAGTGATTTCAATACTAAACTGTTTTGAAAAATATTTTTCTTAACAGCTAAATAATATCGGTTCCACTGAAAAACATATGAAATATGCTATGAAACCTTCACCTTCTACATAATCGCTGTATTGGGAGTTCTTTTCTGCTTCACTTTCTTCGCGGTCACAAGACGACGGCGAAACAGGTGATTCTGAAAAAAAAAAGTTGGAAAAATGTGAACAAAATGTTAAAACTTATACGTATAAATGTTTTCTTCTGTACACCGATGCAAAACTTGAGCGTCAATGCCGAATAACTGAACCTAACTCAGAGTGGTATAAGCTCTTATAAAATTCCCAAAAGAATTCAAAGAGTACATCAAAATAGATGATCCAGGTGGATCAATAAAAATCAAGCTGAAACATAACAATTCTTAAACACTATACGTTGCACAATCCAGTTGAACTGTCGCTTCGACACTTTGACAACGCAAAAGTGATCAAATTCTTACTATCAATTACATTCCAACTTTATCAAATATTATTTTATAACTAGAGTAATACGGGTTGAGTCAAATCAACAATGATTTAATTCGAAAGGAATTACAAGTTAACTGCAAGTACGTAATAATCATTTTGAGAACATAATAATTGACAGGTTGTATTTAAAATTTGTAAACAGTGTATCGTGAAAATTTACCACTATTCAGACTGTCTTGGTCACGTGATTGCAGAGGCGTGGTTACCCTGGTAACATCATTGGATGAGTCACCTGGTGAAAAGAAACGGAAATGACGTATAAGAAGACTTCGATGAGAAGACCCAATAACAAAGTGCACTTTACGAGACTTTTTCCATTGCATTTTGCAAGTGTTTCACATATTCAAATATATCAATAAGTTCAGTCCCAACTGATAATCTTAAAAGCACTGGCTACTACAGAGCCGTGCATATCCATCTGAATCATATATTAATAAAATTCCTACAACGAAATAGGTGGTGCTAAAACAGGCTGAAGTATCGCATGAAAGTATTCATTCACTAACACAAATTAATACTTTAATGCAAAACGTACATTCATTTAAGAATGAGTTAACAGTAAAAATTAACTACATTTCATTGACTTAGTTAATGAACAAGGTTTTGGTTTAACTATATTTAACTCTGTAACGACACATTTCTGACGGATCAGACAGGACTGCCAAGTGCAGTCTAAATGAACAGGAAGTGCTGGTTTAACGCTCTCTACCAGTCTTGCATTCACTAAGATGTCTACTGTCGAGCCACACTTACACGAATGTCCTTCATTTTAAGTAAAGATATCTATATTTAGTTCCTACACTGGGAAACCATCAGTCTCCTCTGAGGACGCAACAGCGAGACTCCTTTGGTATGTGGAGTACGGCCAACATATTGATGAGAACAAAGTACAATGAAAAAGGTTAAACTCAATGTTAAGAAGAACTATGCTTTAAATATATACATATTTTTATTTTCTGAATTATCCAGCTTTTACCAAACGTCATGATTTTCAGAAAGTCATTTTACCTGGCTTGCAATGAACTTGTACTTCTAAAATTTACATAAAAAGTATTACGGAGCCATAGTCGGCTACTCAAGTTTAGGGAGGCAAACATATTTCTAAAACTAATGTTAAAAACTGCATTTGCTAACACATTTTTATGTAATATTTATGTACTTGTATATATATTGCTATATTAGCGAAGCAGTTGTAATCATTTTATAAATAATTGGTTACAAGCTATTCTTGTGGATTCGAAAATAATAAATTGTTTAAAAATAAAAAACTATGGTAATAAAACGGTAATAAATATTTTGTATCAGTTTGGTATTAATTGTTCTTAATGTTTTTATTTGTGGATTCGAAAATAATAAATTGTTTAAAAATAAAAAACTATGGTAATAAAACGGTAATAAATATTTTGTATTAATTGTTCTTAATGTTTTTATTTTCGCCGGAAAAAAGTTTGGCATTTCCCAAATAACACCACGGTAGTGTATTTATTTATTGTCTAGATCAAAGCAGACATTTAATTTGTTAGTATATGGGTGTTAGTAACAGGTAGTCCACAATGAACATTTAGTTTTGCAATTCACACAATATTGTACTATATATTTGTAATATTTCTGGATTCAAAATAGTCACCTGATCATCGCGGCAATAAGAAATAGGTTTGCAGACCTAGTGTGAATAGACAGGTGTAGTGATTTGTCGGGAAATGAATAAAAGAGACAAGAACCGATTTTGAAGAAAAACAAAAATGGAAATAAAAACTAAATCTCTAGCTGAGCTAGGCCTGAATTATTGATTTAAAGGTAGGAACTATGCACACACACACATCAGCGGCTGGAAGACTAACGCTCACTAAGAAGGAACATGTGGACAAGACAAGAGATACAAGCGAATCTGTTTAAAAAAACCCTCACAACACACGTTTTCTCTATAGCTTATCAACCACAAAACTGAGCCAGAAGTATGTTAGGAAAAGTAGATAAATAATATCTTCGACTGATTCACGGCGTAGAATGTAGCACGTGGAATATGTCCTAATCCAGATTTACCAGGCTCTGAGCTAGAGTTCTCAAAATAGTAAATATATATATATATATATATATATATATATATAAGTTACTATATTACAGATATTTATTAATTTTAAAAGTAGGTAGGTAATAATATAGTATTATTTCGTCCTCCAACACCGTCCCCTTTCCTTACCCCTTTACCCCAACGTACTTTCGTCCCTTACAAGTACCTTTAAA